GAAGGAATTATCAAGCAGTGACATATAGGATGTTAATTTGTGTTTTCATACATGGGGGATCAAATAATGATATAAATTTTAAGTTTTTGAGATCCAGAAGGAGGATGCTGAATTCTGAGGCATGCATGCACATACTAACTCTATTACCAGACCAGACAGTAAAATCAGGACTACTGGAGCATGGGCCTTCCAACCTTGCCCGCCTCTCCATCAGTGCTGCGGAGGGGAAGGAGGGCGCCAGGGCCTTCCCACCCCCACCAATGTTCCCTCTAAGCTCTGAAGCTCTGTGTGCAAAACATTTTCTTCGTGAGCCAAACCATAAAAGTTGTGAGCAAGCCTAAACTTAATTTTTTTTAAAAAAAAATCAGTTTACAAACATAAAAACATACATGCAGAACTCACACATGGGGCAACTACAAGATGTGTGACTTTTAAAAATAATTCTAGAAATCTGATGAAAGATCTCTCTCTGAAACTATCATATCTGACGAAGGGAGCTTTGACTCTTGAAGACTCATACCCTGAAAATCCGGTTGTCTCTAAGGTGCTACCAGACTCGAATCTAAGGTGCTAACAGACTAATTTTTTTTGCAAATGTCTTAGAAAACAGTTACCAAAAATAGCTCCCCAAGTCCTCAAAACTATTGCCCTTGTCTATATACATATTAAAGGAAAAGTTAGCTATAGGAAGTATTTTTCTCAGCTTTATTTATAATGTTAAATTAGACATTTAAAAAGTACTATTAGTTTAATTTAGCATGCTGTTTAATTAGAATTTTTTAAAAATTATTGAATTGACCAGTCCATTCAACACATTATATCCAAAGGAGTTTTACTGTTTAATCCCGAAACACAAAACCTGCAATACTGAAATCTGATAAGTATTTCTCATTAACTGTCCTGATGAAGAATGGCACTTTGACAAATGTAAGCAATCCCTTACTACTTGAAGTATTGCTGTGACATTACAACCATGGCACAATTCAACAGCATTAGTCTTATCTCAAGGAATGAGTAGTTCATCAAGGGGGAGAAAGAAGTCAGCAAGTATTTGGTTAGCCAAGCATATTGTGGTTTCAGCTATCCCCTTTGTTCCTTAATTTTCAAGAGACTGAGTACTTCACTCTCTTCCAAAGATGTTTGAAGCTGCTAATGAGAGGCTGAAAAATACTCTCAAGTCCCTGAAGGCAATCACATGCAAAGAAAATATTCATGCATCTAATTATTCCTGACAGCTAGTCCAGATGATCACTGGATCACTGAGTAATGACTTCTCCTTGCCGAGGTATGCAAGGCAGAAAAATCTCATATGCAGATTTGCATCTGTTCCTATACATTTCTGTGTTATTACTAATGAGTTCTTCCCAAGAGACTTAATACATCTCTTAAGTTAATAGGCCATTTTGTTTTGCAACCGACCAGGTATGTTCATGGCTCCTGAATCCCTCCTCTTCATAACCAATTTCATTATTATAGTATTAAAAGGTCCAGCTCACTCACAGGGTATCAGGCTGATGCTCCCTGCTCCCATTTGGGAACCACCAGCACCACCACACAACATTGTGGCAAAGTTGACCCTACTCCTCTCCCTCTGAGCTCGGGTACTCTCTCTTTCCTCAGCAAAGCACAGTTTGCAGTTACACATGTGAGAATTATCATGCAAAGCATAATTTCCCTAGTTTTCATATGAAGGCAAACTATGGTATGCCAAGAGGGGGGGAGGGAGGGAGGGAATGCAGGCACAAGACAGAAGGGAAGCAGAACATGTAGAGTCCACATTATGCTCTTCATCTCCAAACCATTGGCACATTAAGAATGTTTGTGTCTGAATTTAATTTGTGTTTGATTGCTCTGACCATCTGCCTGTTTATCTCAAGGGGTAAACAGTAAAACTTCAAAAGAAAACATTTTGCCAAACCAATCAAATGAACTTCATTTTCAAACGTAAGATTGTTTTAGTTCAGACTGATCATAAGCCTTTAAAAGTAATTTTTAAGAAGCCAATTGGTAGTGTACCTGCTCGTCTGCAACACATGTTATTATAGCTTCAGAGATATCAACGTAATGTAGTATATACCCCAGGGGAAGCAAAGACCCATGCCTATGACTGTGTTACACAGTTATACCTTACTCTTTACTCATGCGATCTTGAACAAACGTCACTAGCTTTAATGATGTGATTCTTCTTTGCCTAACAAAAAGATACCACTTTCCAAGATACTGAAAGCTTTTGCCACAGTTTATAGTAATTCCTTCCCTAATATATCCACCCTTCCTATGGTCCCTTCAATATTTTTTTTTCAACCCCCGAAGGGATATTTTTTATTGCATTTTCTATAAACTACAAAGAAATAAGGGAGGGTATCTACAAACTACAGGTGAAAGGAAAGAAAAACCTCTAAAAACCCAAGAGGTGGTGAGCCATTACAAAGCATATTAAAAATTTGCTAAATTACTAGAGAGATTATTAGTTACACTGAAGTGTGATCAATATATGTATGCTTATATTATCAAAACCAGTTAAAATAACTGTTCAAGAAATACCACAAAAGAACCGCTAATAATAATCCACTTAAGGCTAACTTCAGAGTCATTCAGCATCTCATTTCCCCCCCCCCCTATTCCTCAATTGGTAGTCTCGTTTGGGGGGCGGCTGTCCCACGTTGCGAATCAGAATCTTCTTCAGAAGTTGAAGCATCAGAGTCATTGTCGCTTCCTTTGTCACTGTCGTCGTCTTCTTTGTTGTCCTCTCCTGTAGAACCAAGTTGCTGCTTCAAAAACTCCTGAGCTTTAATAGCAGTGTCAATTCTTTCTTTCTTGATGTTTATCTTAAAAAGGATGTCCTCGGGTACCAACCATCTGTAGGGGATGTTGTTTACAAAAACCTTGCCAAGTCTTTAAATTTCTTTCTCTTCTTTCTAATTTCAAATGGAATATCTTTCAAAACCCTTATTTCCTTGCCCTCAATTTTTAGGGACGTTCCTGATGTTGCTTTCAGGATTTGATCCCTCACATGCCTTTTTGAGAATCTGACCACTATCTCCCCTGGCAGATTTTTCTTCTCTATATATTCTGAATATAATCTATAGACCACATCCATCTCGTTTTGAATATAATCCGCTTTTAAATCTGCAATCGGGGCCAAGGCATCAATCAGAATTTGTTTCAGATTCTCCCCCTTAGTTTCAGGGTGCCCCTGAAATCTCAAGACAAAGCTTGCTTTTTCCATTTGTAGTTGCAAGAGCTGTGATTCATCAGATGTTCTCTTCTTTTCCAACATCTGCACACATTTTTTAACCTTTTTAGTCTTGGCATCCACCTCCTTCACCGTCTCAGCTGTCTGCTCCGTCTTTTTGTTAATTTCACTTAGCTGGAATTGCTGGGCTGCAAAGTTCTGATTTAAAGTTGTCAATTGCTGGTTTATGTTTGTCATTTGTTCCAGCAGAGGCCAAAGAGTCTGCTAACATCTTTGAAATGTCTGTGGAAGTTTCCGGTCGGCTGACTAGCCCAGCTGGACTCGGACTTCCTGAAGAAAGCTTAAATTTCGCTTGCTTATCCTTCTCAGTTTTTTTGCCCGCCATCTTTATCTTTACCTTTAAGAATAGTTTGCCAAAGGTCTCTAAAGTTCGCGCTAATGCTTGTAAAGCTCTTTTGAAGTTCTTAAAACAGCTCCATTTTGCTTTTATGGCTGCCTCCCCCCTTTGGAGATGCCTCTGTCTTTTCTTTGCGTTTGGGAAGTTCTATCCCCCGCTCGCTTTTATTACGGGGGGGGGGGGCTTTCTGCCTTTATCCTGGTGTTTTCGCTTTCATGGACTCACAGTTCATGTCGGCCCGAAGACCTCGCCAAAGATATGTGTTGCTCACTCAGCCTCCATGCGCTTGTCCCGGTCAGCGGCTCGAGATCCATAGTGGACGCACAGCAGCAGGACTGTCGGGGCAGAAGGGAGTCTCAATTCTCCGGCAGCGTGCCAGAGGAGAGGCAACCCTTTAGCGCCCCATGGCTGGGGGCCCAATGCGAGGGCCCCGGGGGAGTGTGTACAATCACACCCCCTCCCAACCACTGGCGTGCAGATCGCGCCCTGGGAGCTCTCCAGGAACGCGTCCGCCATTGAGATGCCACAAACCGGAAGCTCGTCCCTTCAATATTCTGAACATGCCTATTTTTGCCTGACCTTCCCAGCATTTCCCTCCCTCCCACCAGCAGCCATTTCTGACCCTGGATTCCCATGGTCATAGGACCGGCATGAAGTAACAGCTAGCCTGCAGTAATGTGGGTCTGGAGAAGGAAAGTGAAAACTGTTCCTCCTCCTCCTTCCATGAGCAGAACTCTACTCATGGAGGGCATGATTTTGCCTCCTTCCCCCTCCCCACTGCAGACTCCACAAACACTGGGAAAATCTTTGCTAAGGTTGGAAATGGCTGTTAGAGGAAAGTGAAAGCCAGGAAGATCAGTGAAAGTCAGTACCTTCCATTGATGGGTCATGAGATTTAACCCTATGGCTAGCACTCCCTCCAACCTATGGCTTCAACACCTATTTCATATTAAGATGATTAGTCTCCAGCTTAGAAATGAAAGAAACCAATAGTTATAAAATTCAAGGAACTGAAGGAGAGAACGCACGTGCAAGACTGTGGTACTCCCTAGATCTCCAGATTCTGGACAAAAGTCTGTGATGTCTGAATCAGGCCTTCATTGAGAAGTTCTCTTCAGCTTCCTCTAGACTCAACAGAGGACAACCCAAAGACCGCTGCCATGCCTTGCTTTGCTGACCATGGGAGCCGTCTATGTCTAGCTCTTTCTTGAATTATTCCAAGTACGTCCCAATCCCCACCACTTAAAAAAACCTCATATTTTTAATATATTCAATTTTGCTTCAGTTTAGATATTGCTAAAACATTGGAAATAACATATCTAGTTATTAATTGCCATTAGGGTTTCAAATGTAAATTGCACTTAAACTAAACATTTCGAATAAATAGAAAGAGTTCTCTTTACTCACTTCTGAAGGTCCACTATTTCATTGCTTAAAGTATCCAGCTCTTTGATTGCAGAAAAATCTGCTACAGGGCTTGGTCCGAGTGTGTTCTGCAAGATAAAGAAGAAAAATGGTGAGGTTGTATTTTATGTATGTCTGTATTAACAGGAATACCTTGTTAGGTATTTTATGCTATGAACTTTTCTATGATTACTCCAGAACTTGAATTTCCAGATGGTGGAACCTATTATTACTCTAGAACCTGAATTTCTATAAAAATCCCAACAACTCTTAATACCACACAACATATGTTCCCTTGTTTCAGTTTTACATGTTGATATAATCAGGTATGGAAGGGCACCTTATCATATTTTTAGGCTTCAAAAACAATGGTAATAAAACTGCAGAAATGACACCTTCTGTTGTGTTACAGTGGGTAACAATCAGAGAGGTCAGGATTTTGGCAATAAATGTACAAATGAGTGGAGAAAAATTGTTTTGCAAGATCTGTCAACAAGTTAATCTAGCTTCACAGCTAGAGACACAGAATTACAGTACAAATGGTCTGATACCCTTGTGTCAGCAACTGAGGTTGTGATTAAACTCATGTCAAGCATCGATGGCAACCTAGCCACAAAAATGTTGCCTGTGGTCCACTTATAAAAGGTTTGCATTAAATGAGCAACAGTATTTACATTAGAAACCTGTGAAGGAAACCTTCTACACAGAAATGTTTGAAAAAAATTTTAGCTACACCTTTGTGTACAGTGCAAACAGCTAAAGTAGAATCCAGTGAGACTACGAGGCACTCCAAGTTTCTTTCTTTCAGTGTAGCTTATAAACACCACTGGAGAAAGCCCAAAACACTGCTGCCAAGACAAATTGTTTCGGTGGTAAGGAGCTTTTATAATAACTGGCTTAACTAATTTACATTGGTTAAAATCTTAGATGAAGCTTCACTCTCTCTAAGGGGTACTTTGAACAGTGAATTGCAGAGTTGGATTTGAAAACATATAAATTAATCATATAACAGATACTAGTATGCGTGCTGTTCATCAACATTCACATGCTATACAGAGCAGTAGATACAAAATGTAACTTAAAAATCAATTTAGAATTTTGGTTTTACTCAGATGAAAATGAAAGTAACTTAAGCTCTGAAACCACATCTCTGTTCTATTAGTTAGACTTGCCACTGTTGAATTCCATATTTTATTACATTCCACCAAGTCCCAAAAAGGCTTATTACAACTGCTGCCTACTTTCATTCAGTTCATATCATTAGTTGTTTAACACTGAAGACGACACATAAGGTCAGTGAAGCAACACAGCTTATTTCAAAACTAAAACCTGTAATTGTGTTGTGTTGTAAATACATTTTGTATGTGGGTATATTCAAACATGCAAGTGATCGGTACAGAAGATCGACCTTAATTTATAAATAAAATATAAACTTTGAAAAAGATAACCAAAAGCTTCAAATGCTATTATACAGACAAGCACACAATGTGCTCTTTTGTATATTTCCAATTACAGCCAAGGCCTTGGGATGAAAAGAGCTATGTGAAAGTGGCACCACATTTCTGAAATTTGTCACTAAGCAGCATGCTGCTGTTTCAAAGAAAATGTGACATGAAAAAGATGCTCATTATTAAACAGTCAATATTGGAAAAGTGAAGAATCTCTAACCTTGAGATGGCAGATTTAAGAAACTGACAGTATAATAAAGATGTAAAGCAGAATGGTGCAGAATGGAAAATATAGTCCAAACTAGGAAAGACAGAGAAGGAAAGCAAACATACAAAAAATATTAGTAAAGCAAGAAATAAAAGCAGGGCTTTTTTTCAAAATAATGCAAAAGTAAACCTGATATTATTGAACAAAATACAGAATTTGAATTCTATTTTTGGTTAAGAATTCTGGAGAAAACATGGCTCAGCACAACCTTTAGTGTCAGCAGAACAAGGGCCCCTCCCCCTCCCCCCAGTTAAAACACCACGAATGAAACGTTACTGTGATCTCTCTCTTTCAGCCTAGTATATCCACTCTGGTATATCCAGTTTCAAAATACCATATGAACACCACCAAAACCATATGAAACTACCAAAACAGAATATTACAATTAAACCTATTTTAATTACTATGGCATGGCATTGTTAGAACAAAAATGTTAGGAATCATGCAACTCTGATGTGCCACACATTAAACGTTTAAATAATGAAATATGAAGAGGTCATGGAATTCACTTGTGGACAGCAGTTGGACCCAGACTAAACTTCCTGCTAACAGAGTTCCCACCAGTTCCGCCTTCCCACTGCAGACCCCTGATGTGCCTCTCCTGCTGCTCCTGAGTGTCACCTGTCCCTGCCCACCCAGGAGCAGCACTGATTTATGTATTTATTTGTCGTATTTCTAGCCCTCCCTCCCTGCAAGCAGGCTCAGGGTGGCTCACATTAATTGGCCCACTGGGCTGAGATTCATATAAACATTTAAAACCAATTAAACAATCAATCAGCTACAATAAAACCAGTTAAACAATCAATCAATTACAATATACAAATTAAAGTGCTCACAGTACATTTTAGGCAAGATGACGTGCCATACAGGGCCAGAACATCCCACTCAGCAGCGGCGCAATCACACTGCAGCCTGGCCTACGCCGCAGATAGTAATAGTGGCCGTTGGTGGTATTAGTGGGCGGCTCCTAATTGAAAGCCTAGTGGAAGAGCTTCAGGGGGATCAGTGGGCTGCGGGGGGGAAAGGGGGGGGGAGGAAAGAACATTTTGTTCCAATGATGGAAGTGCCTTGAGTGAGCAGAAATTTCAGTCCAGATCTATCCCACCAACTTCTGCCTAGAGTCTCCTTGCACATGCCAGAGTTCCCAGGGATATGCAATAAGCTCCCACATGCAAAACATTTTTCCCCCTTCAATGCAATACTGGGGAACAGCTCTATACTTAGGTCTCCATTCTATGCCTGGAACTACCACTAAAATTGTATTGAATCCCCATGAGGAGAACGTGACAGTGTTGGATTAAACTAAGCAACTTTATAATTGCAGTTCTCAAATAGATCCCTTTACAATAAATTCCAAACTATTGCTCATCTCTGCTTGGTTGGCCAGTACAGAAGGAGAGATATTCCAGTAAACCAAGAACAAGGAATGAACCAACTGATGTATCTCTATTGGCAGCAGCATTTATATCATTGTACACCCACCCATGTAGCAAGGCCACAGGCCAAAACTATTTTATTTGGTCTTCTGAGACCAATATGCTTTCTAAAATGCAAGCAAAATTTCACCTTTTGCGGAGTGCTTCTCTCTGATGGAGGGATCATATCTGGAGAAAGCACCTGAGGAGGATCAATGCCCTTTGTCAGCTTCTGACTGATGAAATGGAATGCCAGAATAAACTGTTCATCTGAAAGCTTCCCACTGTCTTTTGTGTCACAGAGAGCCCTGCACAAGTCAACAAAAAGATTCAACACATTATTTTCCTATCCATCTTAAATATGTACATACTTCCAACAAACAGGCAGATTATGTGACATTCTAGCTGATACTGACAGTATTTAAGTCACCTTACACATACACAATGGTCAACTCAGTACTACAAAGATCAGCAGCAAAACATGCTGGAATCAAAACAAATGGGGACCGCCACTGCACACCTGCTCTGCTTAGGAGTTTTCTTTGTCATCTGGCTTGTGAAACACTGGAAATCATATTTCAAATTAGATGGACCAAGGCCTGAGCCATCCAGGTAATTTAAAGAGACAAGCAATCCAGTCACATGAAGCTGCCTTATACCAAGTCAGACTGTTGGTCTATCAAGGTTAGTATTATCTATTCTAACTGGCAGCAGCTTTCCAGGACCTCAGCTAGAGGTTTTAATTTCATCTCCTTCCTGATCTTTTTAAATAGCAATAATGGATTGAACCCAAGATATTCTGCATGCAAAACAGAATCTCTACTGCAGGGCCATGGCCCCTCCTCAATGCATGATGATAAGCAACACTATAGCATTTTCTTTACTTTTTACATTGAAGCCACTAATACTTTTTTCTAAGTAAATTTCCAACTGCCATGCTTAACAAGGCAGAAATAGATCTATGACTGGGTGGTAAATATATTAGAGTTTTTCAATTAAAATTTTTACAGCAAGTAGAAAGCTTAGGAACTGTGTGTGTGTTAAGTGCTGGCAGGTTGCTAAAGCCACCCTATGAATTAATGACCTCCGAACCGCCTTGCCAACGTGGGGATTCAGGGGCTTGCCCTTCAATGGTTTGCCTCTTTTCTTCAAGGTCGGGGACAGAGGGTGGCAATTGGGGATCAGCGCTCCCGGAGGTATCCTCTTGAGTGTGGGGTGCCTCAAGGGGCAGTGCTGTCCCCAATATTATTCCAACATCTATATGCGCCCCCTCGCCCAGATTGCTCGGAGTTATGGGCTAGGGTGCCATCAATATGCGGATGACACCCAGCTCTATCTAATGTTGGGCGGCCGGTCGGATTCCGACCTGGATGACCTTCATCGGGCACTGCAGGCTGTGGCTGGTTGGCTCAGGCTGAGTCGGCTGAAGCTAAACCCGGCGAAGACAGAGGTCCTGGGCTTAAGTCGGGTCGGTTCAGGGTTGGGGCTCCCTCTCCCGGCCTTCGATGGGGTGCCTTTGGTGCCGGAGCCAAGGGTTAGGAGTTTGGGAGTGCTCCTGGACTCTGCCTTAACGTTGGAGGCCCAGGTAGCAGCCACTGTCAAGTCAGCCTTTTACCATCTGCATCTGGCACGGCAGTTGGCTCCCTACCTTGACTGCGATGACTTGGCCACAGTGATCCACACGACGGTCACCTCGAGGTTGGACTACTATAACGCTCTCTACATGAGGCTGCCTTTGTTGCAGATCCGGAAGCTGCAGCTGGTGCAGAATGCAGCAGCCCGGCTGTTGATGGGCCTCTCTAGGCGAGACCATGTTTTTTCGGTGGCGGCTCCTATCTGGTAGAATGAGCTCCCAGAGATCAGGGCCCTGCGGGACCTTATGCAGTTCCGCAGGGCCTGCAAGATGGAGCTCTTCTGCCAGGCTTTTGAGTAGGAGCCGCCACCATCACTGTACCATCACCGCGCTGCCAATTTTGGCAATGTTAGCGGGCCCTGGAACTGAAGAACGGACATAGCGCAGACTGATCAAGTAGAGCTAGTAGAATTTTGAAACATTGTATCGGAGACCCCATCTTGGATGTTGTTTTGCTAGCACCGATTTTAAATGTAAATGTAATCGATTGTTTTATCTGGTTTTTATTGTTATGTATGGCAATTGCCTCCTGTCAGCCGCCCTGAGCCCATGAGGAAGGGCGGGATATAAGTCAAATAAATAAATTAATTAATAAAATAAAATAAACCCTACTGCTAACAGCCTTGCTGAGATCTTGCAAAATGAAGGCATGGTTTCCTTGATTGACTCAATCCACCTCATGTTGGATCTTCCTCTTTTCCTGCTGCGTCCAACTTTTCCTAGCATTATTGTCTTTTCCAGTAACTCTTGTCTTCTCATAATGTGATGAAAGTATGATAGCCTCAATTTAGTCATTTTAACTTCTAGGGAGAGTTCAGGCTTGATTTGATCTGGAGATGACAGTTGGGAACTGACAGTTGAAGAAGAGAAAGTTTAGCACTTACTGAGGACTGTGAAGGAGGCAAAAAGGAGTGAGAGGATCACAGAACATCCCCATTCAAGCCAAAAAGGGACAGAGCTTCTAATGAAGAGAAGTAATCGCTGCCCAGTGAAAATGGATATAGCTCTAAAGAGCGGAGTGATCCCTTGGTCTGTGTATAAAGAATGATTTTGGGAATTTGGTTGTACATTCCTGCCTTCTAAATGTGAAGTGTCAGTGAAACTTGGAAACATATGCTTGTGAGTTAAAGCAGAAACTGAAAAGCCTCTCTTCTCAAAGTTTCAAAGACCTTGTTGAAAAGCAAAAACACCTACTTGTTGGCAACATATTAGCTGGATTTAGTGTGATTACAAAGTTACCTCAGTTTTTATTATTGGTTCACTTCATACATCCTACCTGATTCCACCTGAGCTTTTCCCTTCCAAGTTAAATATTTTATTTTTGAACTTTCAAAAGCCTCTCCTGTGCCATTACAGGAGTAGAAGATTAGCAGATGATTTTGTTTCTTCTCTCAAGTCCCTAGGCTGGGCCAGCCTCAAAATATATAATAATGTGAGAGGGTGGGACATCTATAGACCAACAAATAAGAAGAAAATAGGTGTAGGGGCTGCTCAGCAAGAAATGTGAGTGAGGGAAGAGAGCAAAATCTCCATAACAGGTTGCACATCAAAACAATCAGATGTTCTGGCACATCTGTTTCTTTTAAAACTAACCACAGCTTTTCGTGAGCCACACAGTCAAAAGCTTTGCTGTAATCATGAAACACACGGTAATTTTCTTCTGATATTCTCTAGTATGTGCCTGTAACCAACGTAAATTTGCAATATGATCTCTAGTGCCTCTTCCTTTTCTCAGTCCAGCTTGAACACCTGGCATTTCTTGTTCCATATATGGTAACAGTCTTTGTTGTAAGGTTTCAAGCATCACTTTACTTTTATGAGAAATGAATGCAATGGTCCAATAATTGCTGCAGTCTTTAACATCTACTTTTCTCAGAACTAGAATGTAAATAGAGCATTTCCAGTCTGTGGGCCACTATTTGTTTTCCATATTTGTCGGCATATTCTTGTTAAGATTTTGATGGATTCTGTTTCTGTGGCTTCGAATAGATCTATTCATAATCCATCTACTCCTGGTGATTTGTTTATCCCAACTGCTCTCAGTGCAGCTTTCACTTCACTTTCTAAAACTGTAGGTTCTTCTTCAAAAGTTTCTTCTTTCATCTCTTTTGTTTAGTTCTTCAGGGTATTTTTACCATCTTTTCTTTATTTTGTTCTGTTCAGTTAATGCATTTCTGTGTTGATCTTTCAGCATGCCTGACTGTGCTTTAAATTTATCTTTGATTTCTTTTTATAATGGCTGCATTCAGATGTCATGACAAGCTGTGATTATATTAACATCAGGCAAAAACACAACTTCCTGCCATGTTCACATGCTCCCCCCATTCCTCTTGCCTACCTTCTCTTTTCATGCATAACGACTGAATTAAAACTTCTTGGTTTCATTAAGTTTCAATTTGACATAACCTCTGAATACAAAACTTCTGAATACAAGCACCTCAGTCAACTGCAGTTCTAAATTGGGATGAAGTTTAGAACCCCATCTCGCAGGGAGTATGCTCACTCCAGTTTGCTAAAATATATGTATTCTAATGTCATGGCAAATTGGAGCTTGAACAAGCAAGGAAGTTTTGAAGCAAGTACCACCCATAAGGAGGAGGAGAGAGAAAGAAAGGGAGTTCCTAAGCATGGCAGGACACTGTATTCATGCCCCTCAGATGAATTATACATTGTTACGCTATCTGAATGTAGGAGATCTGATGATAATGCTACACTCTATTTGTTTCACAGTGGCTCAGTCTTTTAAAGGCAGAAATGGGAGACCTAGTGGGAAGTTTACCATTCAAACTAGTCTAAATGCATTTTAATGAGACCATCAAGTCTTTCCATCACTGTAACCCGTTCAGGTTTAAAAGTGTGTACCTACAGCGTACAACTGTACACCAAAGATTTAGGCTTCTATGAGTAATTTTTCATCAACAGTAGGAAGCAGGAATATTTTTTACAAGAGGTGCCATCAAAAAGAAATCTTACCAGATGTGTGCAAGTAATGCAGATGGCAGGCCTGTCTTCAAGAACAATTCTCTAGCTTCCACACCAGAAACAAAACCATCCATGTCTTTATCAGTTTTCAGAAAGATTTCATGGTATTTTACTTTGTCTGCAGGTGATACAACCCACTAGGGAAAAATGAAGCAAAAAACAAAACATATTGTGCTTCCTTCACACTTCATGAATGGATTATGAACCAAGGGCTGCTTGGTGCTGAGTGTACCTGTGTTGATGGTGCTTTGGATGGCAAGAGCCCTACTGATGGTATGGACTGATGAGCTTCTTTGCTGGATGTTGAAGGCGGCATCAACTGCCCTGCACTGGGAAGACTGAGAGCTTTTCTTTTGGAAGGTGGCACCAATGTTGGAGGTAAGGATAGTGGCACAGGTTCCTTCTCAAGAGCACAGTATACCAAAAACATAGCCTGAACAAAAATTTTAGAGAGACAAAAGATGGAAAATATTAACTTTAGTGATTTTACAATTTAGAAGAGGCCAGACACAATATCTGAAATTATAGCAACTAAAACAATTCTGTTATTGTAGATGGCAGATACCTTCAATTGAGTAAAGATGTAAAATTAAATTGTAGCTACTTCATTTAAATACACAATTAGAAAAAGCCAATGATAACAAATAGAGGAATGGCACAGTTTTAATTTACTGTATGCTGCCTTGCAGGAAGTGTAGTCAAGATGTGCTTTAAACAAACAAGTGTGTTCAGAATTTAGTATTTCAAATAAGGAACCAGACATCCTCCAGCTGTGATAGAAAAGCCTTCTGAAATGTTAATGTTACTTCTACTTTTTAATTAAAGAAATGTGAAAGAATTTGATCCGAGAACTGGGTTGGAATCCCCAACTTAATTTTTAAGATTATTTAATTATTTCTGTCCTTCACTTCCACTGTAAGGAATATCAGAGTTGGTGTAAAATAAAAAAAATATAAGATAATTTTCATACAAAACAACTGAAATTCCTTCAGTGATCCCTTATTCCTAACCAAGGTTTTATGTTTTGTATGTCTTTTAACAGTTTTGTATGTATGTATGTATGTATGTATTGGTGCCTGCGCTGGTGGTTAGGAGTTTGGGAGTGCTCCTGGAACCCTCCCTGGCAACGGAGGCCCAGGTAGCAGCCACTGCTAAGTCGGCCTTCTACCACCTGCGGCTGGTTCGGCAGCTGGCTCCCTTCCTCGATCGCGACGACCTGGCTACAGTGATCCATGCGATGGTCACCTCGAGGCGACTATTGTAACACTCTCTACATGGGGCTGCCCTTGGCGCAAATCCAGAGGCTGCAGCTAGTGCAGAACACCGCGGCCAGACTACTGATGTGTCTCCCTAAGATGGGAGCACATCCGGCCGGTGCTGAAGGTGCTGCACTGGCTGCCAACAGCATACCGAATTCGCTTCAAGGTGCTGGTACTTACCTTTAATATTTATTTATTATTTTGATTTATAGCCTGCCCTCCCCGCAAGCGGGCTCAGGGCGGCTCACAAATAGGGCACATGCCAATACATAAAACAGGTTAAAAGCAACATAAAAACAATCATTTACAATCCTTCAAAGTGCTCTAGATGTTTCAATCAGTCTTCAATAAAAAGATGGCATCTTGAAGATGGTACTCCCAGTTCAGTAGTATCAGCTCCACGCATTGCTGAACCTATACGGCCAGGGTCCAACATACCTGAGGGACCTGGTTATTCCAGGCCCAGGGAGGCCAGGCTCGTGGCTATTAGAGTGGCGGCTCCTTACTGGTAGAATGAGCTCCCGGAGGAGATCAGGGCCCTGCGGGATCTTGTATAGTTCCGCAGGGCCTGCAAGACAGAGCTATTCCACCAGGCCTTCAATTAGGAGCCACCCACATTACCATCAACAACCACTATTAATATCTGTGGTGGAGGCTGGCTGCAGTGAGATCGAGCCAAACCACCTAGGAGCCTGAAATTGCCCGAGCCTGCATGACATGTTACGCCATCTTGGTTAATAATCACTGAGTGCAATCATTGATTGTTTAAATGTTTTAACAGTGTTAAATGTTTTAAGTTTTAAATGTTTTGACTGTATATGAACCTAGGCACACTGTGCCAGGCAATGTGAGCCGCCCTGAGCCCGCTTGCGGGGAGGGCGGGTTATAAATACAATAAATAAATAAATAAATTTAACTCTGTTTTTAAACTTTGTCAAAAAATGTTTTAATGATATATATTTGGGACAGGAGCTGATTTTAATGGTTTTATAATGTAATGCTATCACGTAAGACTTAACCTTCTGATGGGAAGTTAAACAGTGCAATCCTAAACCCATTTGCACTAAAAATCCTTTTTATGCTGCCAGGCATTTGGGGACTGAGGAGGGGGTTGGGGTGGTGTTTGGTGTGTCAAACTGCTGCTTTTAAGATCACAGGGAGGGGCAAGACAACAAGTCCTCCTACATTGGCCCAACAAAGGCCAAATGCCACTTGGTTCATCCCCTTTCAGAACTTGAAACAAGATTTTCTAAACCAATTTGTAAATATAGATTTTAACAACGGGTTAAGTGTTCACAGGCAGAAGCTACAACTGGAATTCAGCCAAAGACTCAGATAACCAAGGCATATGAGTACAGTCTATTTTGCCATTAGTTCCCATAGCTTGTGATAGCGTATATACACATGGAATGAATGGCAGCATTTTAGGAACCAATTTGCAAGGAGAAATGATCGTCTGAATTTGCCAGTGAAAGAACAGGATCCATTCTACTATTCATTCAAATTACTTGCTTTGATCTCATCTGTATTCCATCTTCTTTTGCACATAACGACAGCTAATCTTATCACCACTACATGTCATTTTCCGGAGCTGGGTACTAGCACTGAAACAAGTTCTTGAGTTGTTACATATAGACTAGAAATAAGAGGTGGTGTTGTCTGGGTCTCAGGCACTCATGAAGGAGAACCACACACTTTGTTTCTGTTCTCTTTAACAACCTAGGTGCCGGTCATGATGAGTCCAATTGTTTAGTTTACCAGTTATGCCTGCACACACCCCGGTTTTTTGCACCCTTAAAACTACTACATGAACAAACTAAATGGTGCCTTTAACCACTGTAAACAAATTTCAAAAGAACTCTGAAAAGCCTACAAGGATCACTATACTTACAACAGCAAATTCATCTCGATCCAACATTCCATCATGGTCTATATCGCTTAGCTCCCAAACCTAATAGCAAAGAAAAAAAATTAAAATCATAAAACCAGTTTCTTCCATTCACACATCATGTTGTCACACAGCGACACCACAAGTCTGCTTTACAAACCGGAATTTTCATTGTTACATAAGCAATTCCTACCACAGCCTCTCCCTGTCCAAATCTTGCCTAACTCCATCACCGAACAACTAATTAGAAGGGGTGAGATTTAAAAATATCTTTAACATTCAGTATCTTTTTACCATCACTGCTATTTAGTGCTCAACTGAATTAAATGGCAACTTAAGACTACAGAAAAGCAGCCATCTCAATTATGTTACCCAGAACATACCATCTCAGAGCCATCCTACATTTTAACAAATCCCATGTAGTTTTCCTTTGCCAAATTTCCCCACCCCCCATGTAGGGCTACCAAGCTGCGGCGGGGGATCCGCACGTCTTCACAGGATCCCTGCCGTGGGGGACAGCGATACGCGTTGCACCGCCGTCGCCAGGATGTGACGCTATGCGTCGCTCTGGCAACGGGACTCCACATCCTGGTGTTGAACTATTAATATGCACTGTCAGATGAACTGTCAGATCTGCAGGATCTGAGTGACAGCAGTGAGACTGCTGGAAGCCTGTCCTGGCCGGTTTAGACCAGTTTATGGTGTGAGGCCACAGGCATGACTCAGCTTGATGCTGATTGGTTGTAAATATGTATATAAGTGGACAAGTGCAGTCCAAACTATTCCTTTTGTGAATCACGGTCTTTGGCGAAGCATTTTGACGGAGCGTTGTATATTCTGTGAATAAACTGTATATAGTTCACCACAAAGAACTGTGTGGCGTGGTACTATATAGGCTGGAGGTGCTGCTGACTGCTGGAGTGTGGCTGGCAAGGTTGGTGTGGCTGAAATAGTCCTAGAGGCTGGCAAGTACCTTCTCCTGGCATCAGGCCGCCATGTGCGCACCGCGCAACACCTGGCGATGGCGGTGCAACGCGTATCGCTGTCCCCCGCAGCAGGGATCCTGTGAAGACATGCGGATCCCCCGCCGCAGCTTGGCAGCCCTACCCCCATGAAGTCATTCATTTAATGAAAAGCAGTTGCTTGATGGACAGGAAGGGCAGGTAGGCTTGCTGCTTACCCCTTTCTTCTCCAAATCACTCCCCTTTGAAGTGTTCTTCTCCTTGCTGGAGAAAAGCACCTCAAAACGAAGCAACTATAACAGGAAAACTGAATGCAGGAGAATGATTCAGCACCTGCCCTCCACTCATCCTTCTGGGTACAATATCCCACCTTTTTAAAAAATGACTTGGGGAAAGCTGCACAAACTTTGCATAATATGCAGGTGGATCCTAACTCACCAGGTTTTCACTGGAAATGGGAGAGTGTTCTGTCTTGAAAATATACTCTTTTAGCCCACGTGTATTAAAAAAGGGAGACCTCAGAGGTCATTCTGGAGGATTTTTTGTCAAGGACATTCTCCACCATTTACGAAGCATCAGCCCACATAATCCCAAAACACTGCTCACCCCAGGTAAATAGATACTTGCACTACTAAAAAGCTTGCAATTCTTACCCTTCCTAAGATGTCAACTGGCAATTTGGAGTTTAGCAAAACAGGTTTCACTTTGTCACCTGACAGAAGCCCATTGACTGGGTTCAGACTGTCAAAGATAGCATCATACTTGGACTTGTCTTCCACCTGGTTGTCAAAATAAGAGGCTAAAATTAATTGAACATCTGTACAAGCAAATGTTAATTAATGTCTATAAGGAACATATTTTAGATTAATTTATACAAATGAAGCATGACTAGCAAAGCCATGGTATACCCAATAGCATAAGAAGCAAATTCAGTGGTTTTCTAGTATGCAGAGTGGTAAAAAGAGGACAAAGCAGTGAAAACTTTGAACTGTAGAAAATCACCTGGGAACCTATTCTTACAAGATTGCTATGAATTCTCAAATATAAAATAGATGTTTGAAATATCAAATATGGATGGTGAACAATGTATTTTTTTACCCCATTCTGCTTTTAAAATATACGTGCAAGGGATCCATTGCTGCTAAAGGGCGTTGGGGCTAAAAAGATAAATCTTACATATCTGACATGCAACAATTCTATCATGTACTCCAGTGTTAATGCCCAAGCAAGAAGAAACCTAAGAACTAGCATCACATGCTCCATGTAAAAATAGTTTTTCCTTTCCACTTAATCTTACTGGACCTCAAAATACAGGGATTCCTTCCTTCATTGTGAACGAATCTGTATGAAGAAAGGCTGAAAACTTCTCTGGTAGAGACTTTTCTCCTGAAAAAAGGTCTATTCAAAGCTGCAGACCTAAATCTGCAAACTGCTATAGTTTGCTGAGTTTCTGTGAAATTTTCCATACATGTCCAACAGAGACTAGAAAGGAAACGAAAAGAAATGGCACATCTATTGCTCCACAGAAATGTCCTTGTGAATAACAGGAGTGCTCCCTCCATGAATCTTAGCTGCAACACAACTATAAATGAAAGCTCCCCCCCCCCCCCCC